ATTTCTGAAGTCATTCGAGCTCCAATGCTCCGAATCCTTTTTACTGCCTGGCAGATTATTCTAAGACCCTGTCAGGAAATTGCCCAGATCCTTCTGTTCCTTACCCTGATCCTCTCTGGGGCCAAGCGCTTCCCCTGCTCCGGTTGGCGATGCCGTGTCATCAGCGGGCCATCCGTATGGGGTGGCCCTGAGCTGCATTTCTCGGCGCCGCCCTCCCCAGCACTGCTCCCAGACGGGTCTATTTCTGGAGCATCAGTTTTGCAGAAGGCATTCTCTGCTCAAAATTAGTGGGTTAGGAATTCAGTCAGCCGAGAGACTGGCAACGTGCTCATTCGTGAGGGCTTTACGGGTTTGTTTTCTTTTCAGAACAGTCATTCACAATTTAAAGTGATTCACTGCTTTTCGGTCCTGAAAGATGGAAAACCCAGAGTGGAGCAAATGATGAATTCATTGTTTACTACTGTGTGACTCTTCTCGAAGCACCTTATGCTAACTCCGCACTTTCTTCTCTGCCTTGAGATTCTCCCTAGTTCGCAGGTAAATGGTTTACGGTCAAGACACCTGGGAAGTAAATGAAAATGATGAAGGCTGGAATTTCGTGATTGCCTATGAGTTGCTGCTGGAGTCCTAGATGGGGGTCTTTGGATGGCCCCCGATTCTGCCACTGTCATTACTGCCCTCGCATGATCCGTAGGCTGACCTCTCCCATTAACTGCAAATAAGCCCAAGGTAGCTGAGGGGCCCAGAGCATCCTGAGCTGCAGCGGCACTGACACGGTCCATGGAGGGTGAGGACAGAGGACGGAGGGAAACAGCTGCTTCTCTCCACACCCCGCTTCTCAAATTTCCATTCGGTCAGTTTTCGACGGGTAAAAAGAAAAGCAAAATATTAGCAGCCAGCATTTATTGCTCAAATACTCTCACAACAACCCCATCCACGGGGTGCTCTCATTATCCACATTTTACAGATGAGGAAACTGAGGCTCAGAGAGGTCAAGTGACTTGCTGAAGGTGACATAAGGACCAGAGATGGGGTGCTAATTCCAGAGTCTGAACGGTTTTATCCTGTTCAGGAATGGACAAATCTGGAAGTTGACGGAATCAGGAATCTGACACAGAAAGAAGCACATTAATAATTAGTTATCAGCGCTTCTTGATTTTCTGGAGGTCTTCTGGAAGGGATGGTTACCTCTTGGCCTTCCACAGAATCTGTTTTCTCCCAGACGCCTGGAGCGGCTGTATTTAGGGTCACTGCATCACCTTGTGGTCACGACAGGAACTGCACCTTCCCGGAGTCCTAGTCCGGCTCACGCTGCCAGGGTTTTCTCTGAGCCTGTAAGGACTGTCAGTCTGTCTGAAATCCCAGAGGAAAAATTCTGCTGGAAGTGGGCTTGATGCAGCTGGCTGGCTGATCGCCAGGGTCGGAGAAGGAAGCCTTTCATTTCCCCTTCTCGCGTTTCCACCCACCTAGCTGAAGGTCCTCTTAAGAGCAGTGGGTGCTTCATGCAGGCGGGCGGCCCACCAGCAGCCAGCCTGGGGTTCCTGCCTCCGCCCTCCATTTCTTTCTGAACCCTCTGCACCCCTCTCCCGCCCTGCCATGTAATGCTGGCTGTAGCTGTGTCTGATTATTTCCTTTCCATGTGATTCTCCTCTGTGGGCAGAGGGAAATGTGGATTCTTAGAATTAATTTGCCTCAAGAGTCTCCTCTTTGCTATTTCAACAAAGCTGATCTTATCTCAGCCACATTATAAGCTACACAACCTTGGGCAATTCACATAACCTCAGTGAGCCTCTTCTGCAAAACGGGGATATGAACATGCCAAGGATTTTTGTGACGATTAAATGAAATGCTGCATTTCAAAGCATTTGGTAAACTGTAACTAAATATGCACACGTAGTTATTATCAACAATGTTTCTTCCTTGCTGCTGATAAGAAGAGACATTGCCTTGTCTAGGCAGCCCATCTCCAGTTCTCCCTCTTGACGTAAGTGGAACATGGATCAGTGTAAGAGGTGAGAGGTGTGTGTCAGGGGGAGGGAGTGGGAGAGGAGATAAATAGCTCCCATAACCAGGTGGGAGATGAGGATCATTGCTTCATAATCACATACAGGGAATGCTGGCTCCCCCTTGGATTAAGGGTCCTAAAATGTCTATTACAATGTTGCCACATTCCAGTGCATGGGGTTTTAGGACCTATAAACCCTTTCTCCACATGGTTACACTTCATCTGCATTACTGTCCTAAGATAGCTTTGGTAATACCTGTTTGCCTGTCGGACAGCTGAAGCAGCTGATGATCAGAGAGGTGAAATGATTTTCTTAAGCTCTCAGGGCAGCAAAGTTGAGTTTAGAATGTGGATCTTTTGGTTTCTGATCGGGTCTCCTTTATTTACCTTTTATCACGTTATCTCTTTATCACACAGAATAGGGGCTTCTAAACTTTTTTGACCATGAGCCACAGTAAGAGAGACATTTTGCACAGCACACACTAAGTGTACGACCGAAACAAAAGCATCCAGAACAATACCTACCCTGCTTATCTACAGGACACCCTATTCTGTCCTATTTCTCACAGAGGTGCTGTTCACAGCTCATGAAACTGATTCATAACCCCCTAGTGGATTGACACCTGCAGTTTGGAAAGTACTGATCTAGAAGGTTCTTAAATACTCCCCATAGGACATGTGACCATCACGATTGCTCATGGTCTCAAATGGATATCATGAATTTGAGGGAATGAAGAGAAAAATAAGATGAAATCAGAAATAGGATGAAACTAGAACATATTGTCTAATGGATTAAGCAAAGTAACCTAACTCTTAGAAATCTTTGGAAATATGATGGTAAGAACTCTACAGTAACTGCCTTATAGTTACTGTGTTTCTACCACATCGTGAGCGCAGAAGTTATCACTCCTAATCATCACCGCCTCTTTACACATCAATGTCCACCCACCCAGCTTCCAATCTTGAAGGAAGAGGCTGCCCCTTACCCTCAGGACACTGAGCATCGTGCCTGATTGGTGCTCGATAAAGATTTGATCACTTAATAAATAAAAAAATGAACAGCAACCATCTTACTTCCTCATTCCTCTCACTATTCAAAGATACTTTAAGCTCAGAAGGCAACAACTTGGTCTATGGAAGATCCATGCATTAAAAATTAGCAACTGTGAGCTCCACCCTGTTGGTATCACCCCGGGGAAGCCCAGGATCTGAACAGAGGGAGAAGTGATAAAGAAAGGATGAACACGGTTCTTTCTCGTTCATTCATTCCTACTATCCAGCATCCTGCAGACTGTGTCTGTCCCCTTCAAATAAATGGCACTTTGTAATGAAGCTTTTTTTTTTCCTCTTCCTTTGGCGACTTGACTATCCCATGATTTAGCCCAAGCCTATATATCTTCAACAGAGTCTGACCAATGCAACCTAATTGTAATGCAAGAGTGTGCATTTTGGCTCGCGGCTACATTAGAAAGGAAAGGCGGTGGGCATTCAGCAATGCCCCTTACAATCATTGGGGGTGCCCTGTGCTGGGAGTCCTTCCTGCAACGCCAGGCCCTGCTTGATGAGAGCCAGGACCACACACACAGGGGACCCCAGGGAGAAAGTCTGTGCAGCCCGAAGCAACAGGCCAAGACTGGCTTGCAGGTTCCTACTGATACAAGTGCTGGCCTCTCTCCTCGACTAGTCAAGCGAAGACCCAGTGTCCCTGGGGATCCGCAGGGCGCTGGAACGACTCCAGCTCCCTGCAAGATGGACTGGTGTGTGAAATAGTGACTCTTCATGCCACTGCCTCTGGGAAGGACAGCAGACTACATTAATACCCTGCTCTCCGGGTAGAAAGCTGCCTGTACAACCTCCACTGTCACACGGGCTGAACGCCGCTGAGGGTGACGCAGGCAGGGACGGTGTTGGAGCAATGCCATCTCTTTGTTTTCCTCTTTGAAATGAATTGGGGGGGAAAAAAGGTTGCATCGCAGTCCTCGGGGTTTCACTTTGGATTTTCGTTTGTGAAGAGTCGTTAATAATGAAGTTCCCACTAACAATGGAAAGGGCTATATATAGAATAGTGGTTTTGTATTGACATGGTGATTTTAAAAATGTTAGAATAGTTTTCTAGATATGGCAGTAGCATTGCTTTATTCTATGAAATAGAATCGCTTTTGGAAAATTGTTTGTAAACATAATAATTTAAATGTATGTGAAGAACATGAAAAGAACACGAGCTTTAGATTCAGGCAGACCTGGGTCTGACCGTGGCTCTGGCCCTTTCTAAGTGAGTGACAGGTTGAGTTAAATGTATCAGCTTCTTGATCCTCAATTTCCTCCTGTCTGGATGGGAAAACGCTTACCCTCTGGAATCACTATGAGCAGGAAAGAAACGAGTAGTGTATTAATTTATTAAATCCATGAATTAGATCTCCTTTTTCACGTTTCATTTAGTAAACATATAATTTTCGGTAGTAAGTAGGTACATATGTTTATATGTCAGCTTCCACGTTATGTTTCATGTCTAGTTTTATAAAAATAAGATACAAGATATTCTTTCCAATTACCCTTCAGGGCTGATTGAAGCAGAAAAAAGAAAAAGATGTGAATCACGTTTTCCAGGTGAAAAAATTAAGTCCCACAAAGAGAGGGAGTTAGTCACCAAACCAAGCCCGAAGCCCCATTTTCTAACTTCCAAACAGCGGCGAGTCCCAGGATTTCTGATGTTAACTCTTACACCTGTGCAGCCACTTACAGCCAGAGGATGGAGCGCGTGGGCTCGGAGGAAACGGATCAATATGTTAGTCATTCCGCCTTTAATCCTGACCCTGAGTTCATTTGGAAACTTCAAGGAACATTGGAGGGACAGGCTGGCTGTCTATCAAAGGGGGCGTGGGTTGGAGGAGTCTGAGAGTCGCCCTCCCCCCCCCCCCCCCCCCCCCCCCCCCCCCCCCCCCCGCAGCCTGGCCCCTGGAAGGGGACGGGCGCGGGACGCCGGCCCGGGACCCACCTTTCTCTTCCTGGGGATGGGCTCGTCGAAGAGCAGGCTGCCCGCCTCGGCCTCGTCGATGCCGTCGTCGGGCGGCGCGGGGCTGCGGAAGGGCTTGAAGCTGTCGGCCGAGAGCGGCGGCGACGGCGTGGACGGGTTCGACTGGTCGCTGGGGGCGCTCCAGCTCCAGTAGCCGCTGCTGCTGCTGCTGGACGGCCCGGCTCCGCCCTCCTTCCAGGAGCCGCTCAGGCCCTCGGTCCCTGGGCACAGACACAGAGTCAGCGCCCACCGCCTCCCGCGCCCCGGGGAGGATGGGCCCCGATGCCACGCCGGGCGGGCCCTGCAGCCCGCGCCACGGGTGCAAGAGCGGGGCTTGCAGGTGCCACTCTGTGCATCCCTCCACAACAAGAAGTCGCATCGCAGTGGGTCAACATTTATTTTACTCACATGATAGGTCTTTCTAACAGTTTCCTGATGTGTGTTGTTTTGCGCAACGCTAGCTCCTTAAGACGATAATGGAGATTATATGCAAACAAGGAGGGGAGAAAAGATGTTCCCTGAGTGTAGGGAGCTCTGCGTTCCTGGACCGCAGTATTTCTTAGAGGGAGATCATTTGCAGGATTCTCCCGAATTGGTTGGTTACAGAGTTCCCTCCCACGCTTCCCGCTATTTTAATTGTTTAAAAAGAATTTCTTCTAGGACTATGATCTTTGGAATACATTTGTAGAAAAAGTTAGCCAAAGATTTAAGAATCTGAGAGAAATAAGTTCTGGAGAGTTACCTAAAGCCATTACTATGCTGCTCATTATGACAGTTAGTAGTGCCTTCCGTTTGATGGATATTTACATCTTGTAAAGCTCATCCACACCATCTCATACATTCTCACAATTGTCTCTCAGAGTAAGGAATATCACCTCCATTTTACAGATGATGACCCTGAGGCACCAGGAAGTTAAGTGACTTGTACTGGGGGCTGGGGACCAAACCCTGGTCTCTCAGTCGGCCTTGTGTCTCCCACAGTGCATGCCGGCCCTGTGTTGTCAGTGTCCTGCATCTCCAGCGAAGGTGAGACGAGAGAAGAATTTATTGGTAATAATTACTGATAAAACTGATGTTGAATTTTACCCCTGCACTTGTGGGGGGCCAACATTATGAAATGTTTGCTAAGATAGAAAGATCTTTGCCCGGTTAGAATGGGCAAAGATCTCTTTTAGTCACTGAAGATTTGCTTTACTTTTCAAGATTCCCAATCTTAATTAGCATTGGTATAAGTTCTGCTTTCTTTTTGAATAATTTCTCCTCCATATTTATGTGCATTTGGAATATATTAAAATATTACAACTGCAGGGAGGAAAAAAAATCCCAAAATGCCTCATTAAAAAAACGCTGTTCACATCTGTGTAATTAGTAATGAAGACAAACGGTAGACTAACATTCATGGAAAAACTTCTTGACTATCTTCACCTAATTACAGATTTCCAGCATATTCTTCAATTATGTCAAGCAAAAAGTTTAGTTAGAGGGGTGAAGTTTTAAGTTGAAATAGCAGAAGTAAGCTACCCATCTCATTAAAGCAGGGTTATTGCGGACTCAAAATGGTCACTTATGCGGGCTCACACCTGGCCAGCATCAGCAAAACCAAATTAGCATCTCCTCTCTGCAGGCCACACAGAGACGGATGCGCTCACCAGCCCCCAGGCGCCTGTTCTAAATAAGGAAGCTGCATTCATACAACAGGACTTCAAGAGGGCTAGTGGAAGGCCTCAGGTAGTATTACCTGGTGTGACAAACTCACTTGGCAGGCCGAGGAGGCCAATGAGTACACCGCTGCCTGCTCTTGTAAAATAAAATGTTCATGGTGCTAGATGTATGATTGTGTTAAGTATGAGGAACCGAATTTATTTTGAAAACCAACTATTATTAGCGTGTGGTTACACTGCTTCATGGCAATGCCAAAAGTTAATTTGCTTACTTGTGAATGACACTTCCTTCAGAAACACGGTTTAATCAGAAGGGCAATGTGATATAGAAATGAGTTTTTCAGAACCAATTCACAGTAACTTTTAGGGAGCAGAGTCTCCCTATCTTAAACAGGTATTTGCCAGAAATGCAGACAGGCACTGCTGGGAGCTCAGTTTCTTTGCAGACCCACATCCTGGCAAAATGATCACAGACAAGGATCACAACAGTTTCCAAAAATTCACTGATATCCAATAATCCTGGAGAAAGTCTTTATTTCTAAAATAATAATAATAATAATGCCTTCATTATCATAAGCTGCTTTCCCTTTTTAAGAATTTGCTTCCTGTTGTAGACTACATGAAAGCTATCAGGCAATTTGGGATTATTAGTTGGGCAGCTATTTTTTAAATCATAATGAACGCTGAATTACTTTCTTAATAACTATGCTAACAAAAGTTTGCATCGAAGCAGCAAAAGGTCTATTTTGATTCTAACCTTTCAACACAAAGGAACATCAAAAATGCTCTCAATTGAAAAATAATGCAACAGTAAAAATAACAATTACATTAAAACATATTTTTCCTTCTCTGAGGATTCCAGGAAACTCTGCAATTCCTTTTTCCTACGATTGGTTTTGGGGGTGCCTTCAGTTTTGCTTTTCCTGTAGTCTTTCTTTGTGGTGTGGATGAAGTGAGAAAGGTAAATCAAGATTCCTGTTTGCCAAGAGGCCCCGATAAGAGAGGTCAGGTCGTCCTACAGGAATGGTCAGGCTCAGCTCAAGGACACCTTATCCACTCTGTGTAAAGAGGTGACATCACCACAGCTTGGGGTGAATCATGACAGCGGGCACTACTGATTCACGGTACTGATTTGAATTCCCAGCATCTTGGTCATTCTTGCCACTTAACTGGATTGGAGTAAGTTTTGGTGAGGACTCGCTGGATGGTCAACAAATTTATTTTAATACCTCATGCTTTCACCCAAATTAGGTGGGAACCATAGCTCCATCTCCTCATTGACTAGTCTGGCTCTTTAAGAGAAGCTTTTCCCTCGCTGGTGAGTTTCATTCAGTGGTCTCGGTGCATTACATTTCAGGGAACTGCAGTCTGGCTTCTGCCCATGGACAGTCCACAGTGAACGCTCTTGCCAAAACCACCAATGACCTACCTGATGCAGAATTCAGTCCTTTCCATGACTGACCTTCTGAAGCATCAGATGCCTCTCCTTGAAACACTCTGTTCCCTTGGCTTCCCTGAAAGCACACTGTCCCAGTTGTCCTCTACCTCTCTCTCACCCCTCAGGATCTTCCTGGGCTCTCTTCCCTCTGCTGATCCCTTCCATGATGGTGAGCCTTACTACTTCCCCCTTAGCCATCCTCTCTTCGCACTCTGCTTTGACACAACTCTCTCAGGGTGATCTCATCTACTCTCATGGCTTCAAATATTGCTTTCCAATTCTGCATCATCAGCCCAGATCTCTCTCTCAGCTCCCACTCAAATCTCCACCGGGTGCTGACCCTTGAATGATCCTCATGTATTGCCTACTAAACTGGACCCATTGTCTTTTCAGCAACCCCCGCCCCTTGCCCAAACATTCACCAATAGATCTGTTCCTCTGCCTCTGTTCCCTGTCTCAGGAGGAATGGGCCTCCTGCTGAAGCATACCAACTGCCTGGAAGTGGGCCTCGTCACGCCCTCTCCTTCTGCCTCTCTGTCCATCATCAAGTACTATTGATTCTGCCTTCTCTGCATTCCTCAATTAGGCCCTGTTCATTCGCACTGTGATCCCCAAGGTTCAGGTACCCATAGGGTTTTGTTTTTTTGTTTCTGCTTGTAAACCCAACTGTAACTTCCCAGTGCTGAAGTCATCTCATAGCTCTCCCACAGCCTCAGAGTAATGTCTAAAATCCCAGCCAGGCATACATGGCCCCTCTCGGTACTTCTCCTGCCAGGCTCTCCAGCTTCATCTCCTACTGCCTTCCAGATTTATCCTATTGAATTATATGAGTCAATATTACATCATGACTAGGAGAGCAGACCTGGAATCAGAAAGATACTAGAATAGAATTTCAGCTCTGTTATCTACAAGTCAATTAACCTCCACGTGCCTCAGTGTACTCATCTATAAAATAGTGATAACAACATCTCATAGAGTTGTTGTGAGAATTACATGAGATAAAGCAAGCCTAGTACTTGGCACATAGTAAGTACTCAATAAATGCTAGCCATTGATATGGCTATGATTGATAGTCTTGTTTCTCCTGTAGAGATTGTACATTTCCTGGGAGTACGGAGATTGTTTTTAATGATGTATTCAAACCATTTAGCAGGGTACCTGATAAATATATATTGAATGAAGGAATGGATTAAATAATTCTATTTCATTAAAGAGTCCAGGAGAATGCTTTTTCAAAAATATTTCATCTTGGGAGTTGTTTGATGCAACCACCTCTCCAATCAAACAGAGGTATTGCTGGGGAAAATAAGTTCATTAGACCAATTTCCATTTACCTGGGAAAAAAGGAACATGAGTACTACAAAGATGTGTATCGGAAAGGTGACGGAGCGCAATAAACGTGAGTTGAATGGATGGATGTATGAATGAGATGCGGTGGGGTTCCCGGGAAGATGAGGAGGAAGCTGATCACTCTGAGGTCTCCATTTCTTCCACATCTCCCCTGCTTCCTGCTACTGAGTGAGAGTTAACTGTTCACGGTGTTTGATGGGAATGAGACTCCCTCAACGACAGACCCCGCTCTTGGTGTCCAGGGGCCCCTCCCTAGGCCCCATACCCCAGGCTTACCATTCGGTCGCACAGGAGGGCTTCGAACCAAGGGGCTGGTGGACAAGCTGGTTAGTACCATTGCTGCTGTCACCTTGTCCATGTCCAGTTCCTCTGAAGATTTCCTGGAAAACAGAGAGGGACACTGTTAACTGTGCATCCACTCTTGGCCACACCCTGTACCACATGCTACTGCACACATTTCCTCCTTTAACTTATCCCCATGAAAATGCAATGTTTTGTTAGCTTTACTGTACAGATGAGGGAGCTGAAGTGCAGAAGTTAAGAGATCCAGTCAAAATCCTACAGTATTAGGAAGAGAAGGATCATTCATTGGTCCTCATCTAATAAGTGCTTATTGAGAGTGGACTAATGGGCTAGACCCTGTTCTAGGCACAGGTGATGCGTGGGGAACAACAGACAAGGTTGGTGGGGAGAAACACAATTATCAGTAAACAAAGGAAAAGGAAGAGAATAGTTTTTGGTAGTGACAAGTGCTACGAAGGGCTAACAGATGGACAGTGACTGTGGGCGGCTGCCCTTGAGGTGGTCAGGAAAGGTTTCTCTGAGGAGGTGACATCCAAGGTGAAGTGTGAAGGGGGAGGGGGAGTCAGGCCTGAGGGGTGGGAAATGCCGTCCAAGCAGAAGAGCCAGCCATGCAAAGGCAAGGCAGCAGGAAAGAGCTGGATATTGGAAGAACCACCCAATTAGTGCAAGAAGGGGAGGAGGGGGCAGGGCTGGCTAAGTGGGTCCTGTGGCCATGGGAGGCATTTCTATTTTATTCTAAGTGGAATGGAAAGTCACTGGAAGGCTTTAAGCGGGCCTCATGACATGATATGATTAGTATTTCAAAAATAATTACGTGAACTGCTATATGGAGAATAGATTATGGAGAAGGCAGATAGAAGCAGGGAAGCTAGTCAGGAGATAATTGCTAGGAGTCAAGACAAGAGGAAACGGCGGCGTGGACTGGGGGGGGCAGTGGCAGGTGATCTGACGCACTGGGTGTGGGAGAGGAGCAAAACGGAGCAATCCAGGATGGCTCCCAGGTGTCTGAGTTGAGCATTAACTAGAGCCATTTACTGAGATGGGAGAGAGCGGAGCAGAAATGCCATTAAGGTGTTTAAACCCCAGTGCTCTGCTTTGCTACCCCTCTCCTAGAGGAAGGAGAGGTCAGTTACCATGTTGTTAAAGTTAAGAACCACTGGTAACCATCCATTGAGATGAAGAATTTCCTCTGGTTCATTAATTTTGGCCACTTAACCCTGAATAAAGGTTCATAAGATAATGACCATTGTGAACTGGAGCCAGCTTGTTTAAGCTTATTTCAATAAAGAAGTAAATATTGAGAGGCAAAAATTTACGTAGTACATTGACATCAGATAAATTGTACCACCTCCCGAGGGACGAACATTTTCAAATTAGGGAACAGTTGAAGAAGCACGACACAGGATTAATAAGCCATATTGACAAATGAATTGTCGCGTTGACAAATGTGGCTTTCATTCACAGGTGTGCTGTATAATTTGTAAAAGCAATGAACTCTCATAGATAGAAACTTCATAGCATCACTTCACAACACAGTGGGAAAGAGATTCCTAAACTGGAGAACAATCAAATTGGTCCCAATGTTGGTGTAGGGGGCTGCTCGCGTAGTTTCATCATGAAGTTATAAACATTGTGACAGTTTGGCTTTCCAATGTCCACCATGATGCTAAATTGCTAAGCAAAGCTTACTCTTTCAATTCAAGGTACCAAAAGATGGGAATCTTTGAAATTTCCTTTTATAGTTCTTCTTAGAGCACCTTGTGCTCTTTCTCAGCTAATTGTTCCATCAAAAGACAAATTACTTTTTTTCAGAGACTGGCAATTAAAAACACATCTAGGAAGCAAGCTTGAGAGTACACAATGAAACTCACTCTGCAGAAGTTTTCAAGACAATCTCATACACTTAGGGGAAAAAATTGCTCGTTCTTTTGGCAAACCGTTAAAAGATTTTACAACATCCACAATTTACAAGCTCCTCGTACTTGGGAGTAAAGGTGAGGCCAATTTCTTACAGAAACGGAGCTTCCTGAAACAGCACCGGAGGAAGGGCTTCCAGCACTTTAAGGTAATTTGGAAAGTTTTGTTGGCTCTGTCTTGCCAGCAGGGGACAAGGAGGAGGGAAGTCAGAGGGGGAAGGAGAACCTTGGGGGCCTCGAAGGACAAAGGCTTGCTACACAGACTGCTGTGTAGACCCTGGGACTCCCCCACTGCCTCCCCAGAGCCCAGCTGGGAGGACCCCTCCACCCCTGTGTGGGCCGCTCTGCTATCTCCCCCAAGACTGACTTACAGGAGCTGCTGACTTCTCTTTCCGACTGTCGGTCTGGTCTTTTCTTTTTCTCTCATTAACAAAAGGTTTCAGAACCAAGAGGAGAGGCCCATGAGTGCGGCACGGGGAGATGGCCTGACTCTGTCGGGAGCCGGTCCCCTCGCCTGCTGCCCCGACCCCCAAAAGGACTCGCTATACCAGCCTTTTCCTCTTCTACATCTTGCTTTCAGGGGCCTTTACTTTTCCAGTCTGCTTTGTATCTTTTTTGATTTTTCATATCTAAGGTGAACATTTTGTTTTAGAGGTCTAATTGATAGTTAACTCAAAAGCTGATTTATGCGTTTTTTAAATATGAAAATCAACAGTGTATCATTATAAAGCACGCAATTTTTTTGCAATGCCAAAGTCTACCACTCCATTTCAAAATAATCACTGAGTGTCATAAAGCAGATTTCTGATGAAGAGTGAAAAGAGGAATAAACATTATTGTAATCAGAGTGTTTTTCTATTTGGATTACCTTAAGTTTCCCATTGGCATTGGAGGTCACTGACAACAACAAGAAAAAAATCAAAGGAATATCCTGCGAATGCTTCAGGTAACCTGTATTTCACAGGGAGTATTTTTATCGTGCTGCATGAAACACTACCAGACAATATGGCCCGTGCAGTTGTGTTGTTGTTTTTATCTTTGTTTAATTTCTTTTGGTACAGTACTATCTAATTACTGATTAATTGGTGCTGCAAATTCAAATCCTTATAATTAAACACCAAGAGATGATATACAAAGTAGAATCTGTTACACTTTGAGAAAACTGCGGCAAAGGCCTGCTGGTGGATTTAGAGTTGTTGAGGAAAAAACCCACCGGAGGAGATAGGAAATATTCTCTCCTAATCTGAAATTGAATTTGAATCTGCTGTTGAAAACCTTACCAATCAGATGTTTACAAAAGGCTGGGACCATTTTCAATGACTCTTTCCTCCCAGGCTTAGTTGAGTATTACGGAACTTAGTAATATTTAGAATTATTTAAAAATAATAGTAATATTCATTGTCATTCTATATGCTATTTGTGCCTCAGGTCGACCTGGCTTCAATGGATGGTAGGAGTTCAGCATGGGAGAAATTGCATCTCAGGCAAGGAAGCAGGCAAGGCCTTGGCTTGTGGTCTGCTCAGGAGTCCTGCTGGAAGGATTTAGTGGGAGACGAGAGGGGCCTGGGCCTGGGCCAGACCACGTGGCCTCCTGTGCCAGGCTGAGTAGTTTGTCAGACTCGTCTAAGCAGAGAGAAGCCCCTGAACATTCGTGAACCTGGGAGAGAGACAGATGATCAATCTGTATTTTAGAAACGGGTCAACATGGAAAATGTGATGGAAAGGGAAGAAAGTAAAGGTAGGCTATTTAGCTATTTTTAGTTAACTCTTGATTCAAACCCAAAGTTTTAGACTCAGGGACAACCGTCCTTCTATGAACAGATAGAATTTGGTCTACGAATACAGAACTCCCTTGATATCTGTCAAGGATGTGTCCTGGACCTCTCTGGGAGAGGAGGTAAAGGTAATGGTTAGGAGTGCAGGCTCCAGAATGTGTTAGATCACGTGGCTTCAAATCCACTCTCTGCCATTACTAGCTGTGTGACCTTGGGTAAATTACTTAACATCTCTGAGTCTCAGTTTCTTCATCTGTAAAAGAAAGATACAAATAGATCTATTGAGGGGCCGGCCCTGTGGCGTAGTGGTTAAGTTTGGCATGCTCTGCTTTGGTGGCCTGGGTTCGTGGGTTTGGATCCTGGGTACAGACCTACACCACTCATCAGCCATGCTGTGGTGGTGACCCCCATATAAAAAAAAAAAGTGGAGGAAGATTGGCACGATGTTAGCTCAGGGCTAATCTTCCTCAAGCCAAAAAAAAAGGAAGATTGGCAACAGATGTTAGATCGGGGCTAATCTTTCTCAGCATGCACACACACACAAATCTGTTGAGAAGATTAAATGAGAAAATATACGCAAGGCAGCAGCACATAGCCTCACCCATAGTCAGGGTTACATGGTGCTTGCTATTATTAACCTTCAAATTCAGGACTACGCCCATAGCATAAACCCCCATGAAAGAGGAAAGCATGAAGTTACTTTGCTTACTCTTCTTATTCAGCATCAGCACTAGCAATTGCGCCTTTCTTTTTTTGGGGGGTGGGGTGGTGGTGGTATTTTTCATAGAGAACCAAACCGCTATGACTTCACGGGAGTCACTGCGTGAGAGGTGACACCTGGCCCAGGGTGGGGCAGCTGCTAGGCCTCAGCAGAGCTTCCCAGAAGCGCCTTGGCATGGACACAGCTCGTGACAGAGTGGCTCTTAAGGACAGTCTACAAAGAGCCAAAGGCTGAAGTGCCGTTCGGATTTCACGTTTAAGACTTTCTGCTTTCAGTCCTCGCTCTTGGAGTCCTTGCTCCATGCTGCGGGCTCTTCCGCATCCTGGAAACACAGTCTCAATGATAATCCAGCAGCCTCTGCCCTCCTGGCTCTAGTGTATTGCAGAACCAGATCTTAATCAAACACACACACATAACCGTGAACCTGCAGCCATCACAGATGCCAGGAAGGGGTGGTATGCATTGATGAGGACCCACCCAGGGCTCCCGGCTAAGGGGAGGACTCCTGGCTGAGGGAGACTGGGAATGACCCCTGGGGGGGCCTGGCTGAGGGCAAGGACGAGCTCTGGGTGGTGGTCGAGAATGAGGCAAGGCTGCCTCCGAGAGGAACGGGCAGGCTGAGCGTGGCACCATGCACTTGGAGATGGACAGCCCAGGGAGGGCCT